GTAAAGTTGGTCGCTAAACAGGGTGCGCTCTTCTGGTTCTCATACTGTAGAGCTAAATCCCAACACTCTTCCTGTCTACTCACCTGAGTCTGAAGAGCAGGCAGCTGAATTTTCTGCATAGTCCATACACTTTTCCCTGCAGAGGAAGTCATGCATTGCCAGGACCCTTTTGTCAGCAAGAAGCCCCCGAGGGATAGACTTCTGGGTCAGGGATCAGTCGAGAAAATTTCCCTGTTGACATTTGTGTTCCTGGCACAATATTGACTTCTGAGGAGAGATGACGACAGCAGTGCTACTGACATTCTACATTACCTTGGGAATACGAGTTCTGGAAAGAGAGTTGTAATGAAAACTGTTAAAATGTTGTGCAGTTGATGCCTTATTTGTTGTATAACTTTGATAATTATAACTAAACCTCTATTTAAGCCTTAAGGCCTGTTCACACCAAAATCGATAACTATAACGATAAAGATAAAGTCGATAAAGTGTCCATCCACAACCATGCCTATAATGGCAAAATGGAACAAAATCACTGAAATCACTTTAAGAACATTTTTGTCTTCCAGCTGATCAGTGATAGAAACATTGACAGCCAATCAGAATCCTTCTTTAAAGAGCTTTAGATTTTAAAGTGAAAGGCGACAAAACTGCAGCGTGAGCTTTAAATACACAAAACGTTATCATCTGCTCTTGTGAACACTAATATAGTTATTTTTGATGAAGACCAACCGATTTGAAGCCATAGGTTTTGTTTCAACAGCTGCTTTACCCTGCTGAAAAACCAACTGAAACCAGTTTAAGCTGGTTGGCTGGTTTTAGCTGGTCTTCCAGCCTGGTCGTAATTAGTTTGCAGGCTGGTTTTAGAGTGGTTTTGATCACTTCGTCAGCTAGTCAGGTTGGTCTCAGCTGGTCAGGCTGGGAGAGCAGCTTGACCGGGTTAAACCTGCTAAGACCAGCCAGCCAGCATAGGCTGGTTTTGGCTGTTTTTTGTTTGTTTGTTTTTCCCAGCTGGGAGAACTAAAGTGTGAGTTTAAAGCTAAAATATGTGATAGGTGTGACATCATTATTGGCAGTTAATGCTTAGAGACCTTGATTTTATAAAAATTCCTTTTGATTATATATTATGACATTATATATCATATTGTAAGTACCAAAGCACAGCAACCTCCCAGGTTGAGTGAAAATGAAATTATTACTAGTTACAAGAGGTAGAACACCATGGTTGAAGCTAAATATAGCAGGAACATATTTGAGTGCGTGTGTCATGTCGTGTGTTTTATTATTTTATTTTTTTCCTAGACAGCAAAAAGAACCACCGCGCATCACAAGATGTTCTTTTTGTCTCGTCACATGATCCACACCTTTCAAACTGAAAGGAGTTGGATTGCAGTATTTCTGTGATTTGACAGAGCTCGTTTTATTTTTTTTTTCCACAAATTCTCTAGCAATGTGCCAGAGACTAAATCACAATTTTTCTGCTTTTGATTTTTCCTTCCTTTTCATGGCCTCTTTCAAGGTATTAGAGTCCCTTTTGAATGCTCTAAATATTTTATTCCTGCCTTTGATAACTAATTTCAGTCCATTACCTGCAAGAGTTTTCCCTTTTGCGAATCAGTGTGACATTATTCTGCATTCAGATTTGTGAATACAGATGTATGCAAAAGACTTCATTATTGTGGCATATCTTCAAAAGGAATCAAATTATTTGATTGCCATTAATGGTTCATGTTGAGACAAGTCTTTGAAATTTAAAAGCTCATAATGTGCTGTTGGCATGTAGCAAACAAAAGACAGAAGCCACTTAATTTCCCTGAAATGGCCAATGCTGGGGCTTTTTTTCCCTCCATTTACCTCTTTCTCTTTGCTTCTTTCCTTCCATCGCATATATCCTCTACCCCCTTTGTGTTTTTGACTGCGTGTGTTTATTAGTGATGCTACACATCAAGCATCACAATTACTTTTTCTTCAATAAACCTTAGTATTAAACCTTGCCCCATTGCTACAGACATAATTGATACCTCAAATCATGTGACTTATAGAGAGACCAGAACACACAGCAACCACCCAGAACATCCTTGCAAACATTTAATAATGCTACAAAATAACTTCTCCTGACAACATAGCAATACCCTAGCAATAGCACAACACACTAAAAACCACACACACAACACCTTAGCAACTGTTCACCAATGCCATTTCAACTACCAAAGAAAATGTAAGAATGTAGCTGTATTTCCAGTCATCAGAGGTGAATGTTGGATCGTGAAGGCAGATCTCCAGCACAGTGAGGTATGAGCACCATCACTGAACTCTGGCGTCAGTCCAACCATAGCTCACGCCTCTGTCTTTGACGTGTGGAAATGTTTGGCATCCCTTTTAATCCTTTTAATGTCACCAATAAAAGATGTTTTATTAAGGTGACATTGGGATTAGTGTTTAATTACCACTAGAGGCATTTAAATATGTCTGCCAGCTTGGCAAGCTCAAGCTAAAGAAGCGCTTTGCTGTGAGTTACTGCTCGCTAAAGCATGTCTGCCAGCTTGGCAAGCTCAAGCTAAAGAAGCGCTTTGCTGTGACCAATGCATTGTAACCAAACCTTAGATTGAGCATCATTTTGTTCTTATGTTTAGGTTGTACAGTATGAGACATTTCCCAAGAGGTTTGTTGCTGTATACAGCTGAAAGGTTTACTTACAGTTGTTGCTGCACATTAAACTTGGATAGAAATATCTGAACATAAAAAAAAGATTTAATTCTTCAAATAGAGTATGAAAAATAATATAAAATACATTTTAATAAAAAGCCATTTTTTCCCTCTACTGTGCTTTGCCTTTGTAGGGCAGAATATGGAAGTACAATTATGACAAATATCTTTAAAGCAAAAAAAAAAAGCATGATGCTTCGGAAGATTCACTCAGAATATAACGCACCTAATGCATAAAAGTGTTTCTTTCCCATAGAAACCTGTTTTGAAAAGTCTTAACGCAGCTCGGTGCATTAAGACAATGATATTAAAAGACCAAATACAGTATACAGTTTATAAATGTTTTGCATTGTGTTTTTACATAGAAAACAATTATTTAAAATGTGTGTGTGTGTGTACATATACATATACGTACATATATAAAATCGCATCAAAAATAAAAGTTTTTGTTTACATAATATATGTGTGTGTACTGTGTATATTTATTATTTATATATAAATACACACACATGCATGTATATATTTCGGAAAAATATGTTATGTTTGTATATTAAATATATTTATATATAATATAAATTATATGATTATACATATATACATGTAAATACATGTAAATATTTTCAATATATATACTGTATGTACAGTATGTGTATTGATATATATATTTATTTATACATAATAAATATACACAGCACACACACATATATTATGTAAACAAAAACTTTTATTTTGGATGCGATTATTATATAAGTATTATGTAAATACCTATGAAATAGCATAGGTATTTTTTGCTTTTCTGCTAAATGTCATTCAGGGTCCACAGACAGGGATATGCCTGTTGTGTGATGACTGTTCTCCAATCAGATCATCAGCTGCTACATACTGTGAACATCCTTCATAAAGAGGTGCATCTGTTTTTGCCCTCCATTTTATTTCACCAGATGCTTGGCCCACCCCTCAGAAGTCATAATTATCATCTGGCACTGTGTGTGTATGTACTGTGTGGATATGTGTTTGCCTTCATAAGCCACTAATTGCCACAAACAGCAACATAATACCATCAGTTGTGGACGTGGCATGAAAAATCCACTCGCACAGGTTCAGGAACAGCTGTACGGGGCAGGATGGACCGAAGCCCGTCTGGTGAATGCAAACGCAGGGTCCAGGTTATTTTTCAGCCTGGCGGCCTGAACCCTGAGCTCAGAGCAATGGACAGATGGTCCATTTGAGACGCCACCAAACTAATCACGCTGTTCCATTAGTGAAAGTGTCTCAGATAAACGACTGACCATGAGCACGCCCGTGGTCTCTTCTCCTTCCAGTTACTCTATTGATGCCCGGTGTTTTGACACAAATTAATTGGGTCACCATGTTGGTGAGGGAAAAAAAAACCGCCATGGGCAAAGTCATTGTGTGATCATGCAATAGCAAAGCTATTTGCTGAATTTAATGTATTTGAAATGAAATATGCATGATATATATGATTTATGGCATGTAAAATCTCTATTATGCGATATCTTGTCTGTATGAAGTTATTTTTTTATCTTAATGCATCAGTAACCGCAACCACACACAGAGTAACACTTACAATATTGTTGGTTATTTTATTTTATTACTTAACAGAGCATTAATTGTTGTAGATTCAGATGTTAAGACATTTCATACATTTTTTTTATAAACCGTTTTCATATATTTTATTATATATTTATGAAGTGTCGTGTATATATTGAGACTATGAAACAAAAATAATGAATGAAAAAGGTGACATGCAAATATTGTAAATAATTAAGTTTTAATTATACAACATTTTATCACATGAATAATTAATATTTCCATTTAAAAAAAATCCACTCTGAAGCAGAATTTAAATTAATTTTGTTTTTGAAATACATGCACTCACTGCTCTGAAAAATTCTACAATAGTTTTCATTCATAATTTTATAATGTAATGTTTAACAGATATATGCATTAATTATATGCATTAATAAAATATAATAGAATATAATTATTCCTTGTGCAATTTAAATTCTGGTTCAGAATGGATTTTTTTTCATGGAAATATTATTCGTTTTTTTTTTTTTTCAAATACCTTCGCATTTGAATTTAAATCACTTGTTGTACTGATATGGAACATTCTACAGTGTTTGTTACTTAAAATTATTATTGGAAGTTACTATACATTGTTTTTAGTACTTTACAGTGTGATGATATGGTACACGAACAACTAAATATTGTCAATATGAACATATATTTTTAATAAGGCAACAAACTTACCAAGAACCTGTTGTGACTTGCAGGAGTTTGCGGATGCGATGTTCCACCTGGTGCGAGAGAAATACACAGAGCTGGCCGGCTGCTCCTCGCTGCTGCATGCGCGTCACAAAGGCCTGGCGGGCATCGTCATGACCAGAGGTATGGCATCATTTCAATCGGCCTGTGAATTATTTAAGAAGGACAATAAGGGTAGAGAAAGCACCTCTAAGTCTCTGTGTGTCCTCTGAGTGTGGAGCTTTGGATGAAATATTTAGTACTTTATCACCTGTGAAAAAGCAACAGACAAAGATGCACATATATCAGAATGGAGTCAAAGAGCAGATGAAGAATAAACTAAAATGATTTACAGGCAATGAAGTCTTGGTTTTTATTCTTTAGAACAATATTAAAGGTGATGGGTTCAATATTTCCAGATGCTAAAATACTTTCCCCTATCCCAGATTGATATTCAGCGTGAACTGTTAGTCATTCATAGGCTGATTCCCCTGAAAGGTGTGAACACTTTGTATCTGTGGTGCGATCAAAACAATGTTATAAGCACCAATCATCCTGACATAGCAACCGCTCAACCAATGACATGGGTTTGGGGTCTGTGAATCTGACCAATGGTAGATAAGGGAAAGTGTTTGGGAAACCTGTTTATAAACAGTCATTTTTAAACAAATCAAATTTGATTTGTTTAAATGACTGTGCAAAACTCACTTTAACTAGTGTGTTGCCATGTGGTTGCTAGGGTGGTTGAAAAGGCATCGGTAGGTGGTGTTTTGAGTGGTTTTTTTTTTTTGTTTGGTTGGGTTTTTTTTTAACAGAAGAAAATCACAATGATCACATGATTTTGGGTATTATTCAGTCCATAGAACAAAATGGTGACAAAAGTCACATGCCAAAGTCTAATATTTAGTAAGGGCTTGGAAAAGTAATGCTAATTTCTGTGATCATGTGACATTTACTATAATGGGTTTATGTGAATATCATTTTAAATTGATTTAAATTAAAATGTGTTAATGTTCTGTAATTGGTAATATATGATAGATAGATTTAATATAATTTCAGTAATTCTGTAATGTTTAATGGCTATAATTATAAATGATCTTATTAATAGAGGCATCTACTTAGAAAAAAAGATGCAATTAAACAAATATTTAAAATAAAAATTTTAAATACCCACATAAATTTGGAGATATAGTTAAAAATTTTTACAATTGATTACAATTTGTAATGTTTCGTGCCATTAAATATGATTAATTGCATAAATTTGTGCAATTAATTACCTTGTAATTGAGGCCCTGTCCACACGAACTTGGGTATTTTCAAAACCGCAGTTTTTTCTACGCGGTTTGAACGTTCGTCCACACGCAAGCGCAGCACCAGGTCACTGAAACCGAACATTTTTTAAAACGCCTGCCAGGGTGAAGATTTTCAAAAACTCCGGTTGCAGTGTTGTCGTGTAGACAGTGAAACCGGAGTTTTTGACTTGTGACGTCGAAGCATGCACTGTTATCTCCGCCTACTGGAAACTTTTTCAGGCTTCTGATTGGCCAACATGGCTTTACGGTTGAGATTATATCGCCACCTGTTGGTTTGGCATGCTCTTGACAGTGCTTCATAGCATGCTTTTGCGTATTCATGTGGACAGAGATTTTTTTTAAAACGGAAGAAGGAAAAACTACCCGTGTACGTGTGGACATGGCCTTACTTGTTTTGTTAATAGATCAATAGGCATAACATTAAGGGTTAGGGGGTTGTTTAAATAGAATAAATAAAATAGGCTAAATAAATAAAAACGAATATATATAATTACTAAACCTTTAACTAAAATTCAAATGAAAACCAAGCGTATTAATGCTATTAATAGTATATCTCTATTAAAAGTATCTCAGTGATAAGATGCTGCTTCAAATCACTAACCCCCAAGTGTAAGTAAATAAAAATCCAATACAAAAATAATAGGGATACTTGCACTATCCATATTTATTGGCGTATTGCTACTAAAATATACAGTATATCCCACGATTATGAATTACAACAGCTCAGTTGCCGAGCAGTGACAGGTTGATGTGATGTTTCAGTGTGTTTGTGTAAGACCCAGCTGCAGGCTTTCAGGAGTCATTGCAGGATCAGTATCAAGTTTTTCTTTTGAAGACCACAGCTCATCAATTTAGACTTCAGTGATATCTGACCTAATCCCTGTCCTCGCTGCTCTGTCTCGCTCTCCTTCTCTCCTTCCCACTCTGTCTGCCTCACAGTAATTGCGGAGCATGTTTATTAAGACTGTTATCTTCAAAGATCCAGACATCGGTGCCCAAGAATTTGTGGCTGGCGAGCAGACACGCAAACTTGACAGAAACACTGGGGGTTCTGTTCACTGCTCTTTGAGCATCTATTGAATCTTTTAGACTGGTACGGGCACCGGTGAAATATTAATGCGGGTCCAACTTTGAACTGCGGGACTTTCGCAGAGGGAGTCGTAACCTGAGCGAGAGTGCTCCTCGCAGAACTCTTATTGGATTATTTCATCTGCTAACGTAAAGGAAACAGACACCGCTTGAATCAGATGGTGTGAATAATCTTATTTCAACCAGGCACGGTACGGATGCTGGGATTTGGGTTTTGAACATCAGATGCACGGTTGAAGGGCTGGTAAAGGGAACCAGATGTGTCTGCTTCTACATTTGGAGAACAGATGATTGTGTTTAGAGCACTGGGAAGTGGAAAGACAGATTCCCGTGGTGGAAAATGCATATTAAAGGGTTAGTTCACCCAAAAATGGAAATTCTGTCATTAATTACTCACCCTCGTGTTGTTCCAAACCCGTAAGACCTTCGTTCATCTTCGGAACACAATTTAAGATATTTTTGATGAAATCTGAGGGCTCTCTGACCCTCCCATAGACAGCAAGGTAACTACCACGTTCAAGGTCCAGAAAAGCAAAGAAACAAAAATAACAACTTTATTCCACATTTTCGTCTCTACTGCGTCACTTTGGACTCGTGTTCACGACAGTATCATTTTTTCGTTATTTTTGTTTTCTTTGCGCAAAAAAGTATTCTCGTAGCTTCGTAACTTTACAGTTGAACCACTGATGTCACACGAACTACTTTGTCGATCATCTTGGTACTTTTCTGGACCTTGAACGTGGTAGTTACCTTGCTGTCTATGGGAGGGTCAGAGAGCCCTCAGATTTCATCAAAAATATCTTAAATTGTGTTCCGAAGATGAACGAAGGTCTTGCGGGTTTGGAACAACACGAGGGTGAGTAATTAATGACAGAATTTCCATTTTTGGGTGAACTAACCCTTTAAATTCAACCAGGTTCTGAAAAGTTTTATTCTGAAGATGAGGTTATGTATACAACAATTACTCCCTATTCAGCATTTGCCAATTCAGAAATCACAGTTGCTTTTCACAGATATTCATGTATTGAACTGTTTATAAATAAATGAATGAATGAATGAATGCATGAATGAATTAATAAATGTTGTTTCAAATAAGTGTCCATGCTGCCTTTGAATTTTAAGTTTAGTCAAAATGAAATGTTAAATTGTAGGAAGTGTCTACTTGGATATTTGAGTTGACTAAACTTAAAGGGTTAGTTCACCCAAAAATGAAAATTCTGTCATTAATTACTCACCCTCATGTCACTCAAAACCCGTAAGACCTTCGTTCATCTTCGGAACACAATTTAAGGTATTTTTTATGAAATCCGAGAGCTCTCTGACCCTCCAGACAGCAAGGGTCCTACCATGTTCAAGGTCCAGAAACGTACCAAGAACAAAATAGTCCATGTCACATCAGTGGTTCAACCGTAATTTTATGAAGCAATGAGAATACTTTTTGTGTGCAAAAAAAATTTTTTTTTTAATGATTTTATTCAACAATTCTTCTTCTCCGCGTCATCAAAAATATCTTAATTTGTGTTCCGAAGATGAACGGAGGTCTTATGGGTTTAGAACGACATGAGGGTGAGTAATTAATGACAGAATTTTCATTTTTTTAATTTTTCATAAAAATTTGAAGGCAAGCTAAACACTTACTTTTTAAGTTGAAACATTTATTTATTTTTTATTTAATTGAATTGAATAAATTTTTTTGAAGTTAACTACAGCTAAAAGCATTCAAAAGCAATTTCCTTACTTAAATAATAACTGAAATAAAATAAAATAAATGCAGAATGAAAAAAATTTAAAATAAAAACTGTCATAAAAATAAAAAACAATATATAAATGGAAAAAAAAAAAACACAACGGACTAAAGCTTACTAAAACTTTAACTAAAATTAGAATTAGAATATATATCAGATTCAATATTTGACAGTGATAATAGTTATTTAGAGTCTTTTTGTAGATAAAGCTCATTCTCTAAGCATATCATTTTATATAAGCGTGCCATATCTGCGCAAAGGTTTCCATTTCGGTAGGAATTATCTCTGGAACACAAGTAGTAAATGGTGATGATGTGCACCGCTTTGACCTTATTTAATATTCAAACATTTTATCATGCAAGACCAACTTGTAAAGGATCAATTCATGAGCCTCTTTATTCCTAATGGCATGTAAATCACTTGGTAGACGATGACCTCGGCCATTTGCTTTACCCCTAAAGAAAATAAGTTTAATGCAAATTCATCAATTTTCTGAAATAATCGCTTTCTGCGCCTTTTTTTTTTTTTTTACCAAAATACACTGTGTCCTTTCTAGCCAATCCAATATGGACTTTCCTAGACCTCTCAAAGCAGAAGATGCATAAAACCCCATCTAATGATTCTTTATGATTTGATGGCCTCATAAAGGAGCTGATGAACTGCATTCTTTGCTTGTTTTGCGAAACAAAACTCATTTAGGAAATGCGGGGGTAATGATGCTTATTAAGCTCATATCAGCATATGGGCTTTCCCCTGACAGACCTCTGCTAGAGTGACCCATGTGCTGATTAATAGTGTCTTGCACAGACAGTGGCTGTGTTCACAGTGGAATACTCACTGTATACGCCACTTTCCATGAAGAGGTGTCTCTTGACGGCAAAGCAGTGGTGAAGGTTAAAGCGTCTGCTGTAGTATTGTCTCTGTTGTATTTTATATTATAAGAATCTTGTTGCTTGTTGCTATTATAAGAATTATAAGAATTGCTATTATAAGAATT